TTTTGCCTGATTTTAGAACCAGAAAACCAAACTGAACGAAATTTTTAAATATTATAGGAGTTTGAATTAAATCAAGGGGGTGTTTTACCTTAAACCTTTAAAAAAAATTTTCTTTATATTTTCTTGAAGAACAGTTGTCGGTAGTGCTCCTTGTTTCTATCGTATTTGTTTAATTTCACGGCGAAGACATTTTAAAAATTTTTCTCCGAACAGAGGCTTGCAAGACGAATTCAACGACCTACAGTTCAAGGTCATTCGGAGTCTTTGAAAGATAGTGACAAGGAGGATAATTTCGCGTGGCTGATGTAACGGTTCATCGATTTGCATGTTTATGTTCCGGGTTCTAATTTAAGTGTTCGAAATGATGACCTTGGAACGGTGACACGTGTTCTGACGCGGCTGAATATGGATTTTCTGTTCTTTCATATCAAGCATTATAAAAGTTTGAATGCTCTTCCAGAGTAAAAGTTCACGTCGTTCTCTCGCCATGGACAAAGAATATTATGATAATTGTGTGGGGGTATGCTGCACGTTGATATCGAAGGACATGACGGTAGTCGATAGTGTGTCCAGAAGCGTAAAGCGACGTATCAACAACCGAGGAAGACATAAAAAATCGGTTATGAATAGCTCGCGCTATGAAATGCAATAACCGATCGAGATCATCGTTTTTAACACTTAACTCGCCATAACTTGGTGTCACTTTAAAATACACATTGCCTGCAATTTTTAAGACTCATTTAATCCTATTGTCAATATATCAATTGTGGTTTTGAAGTAATTGGAAGATAAATAGAAATGTATGTAGTTTAGGTTAAACGAAAATTAATTAATATGTAGTGTTCTTGGCGCATGCATCTAAAATCAAAACAAACGTCAGCAGACTTCTCCTTTTTTTTAAAAATAAGCGAATCATCCAGGTGACTTGTCGTCCATACTGTAACATTGTACGACAAAGTTTGAAGGGGCTGACCAGTTCGAAGGTAGCAGAAATCAATTTTTGTGGAATTCGAAAAGTTAGCGATGTTATAGGATTTTCAGCCGAACTCTGACTCGTTAAACTTCAGCTATTTTCCTCGACCATGACAGTCTTCGAAATTGTAGATTTTGAGAGCTAATAGATCGATCGAAATCGAAAGTTTTCGTCCAAACAAAAATAATTCTGATACCTATGAAAATTTCCTATTTGCTATTTGAAGAAACAATAAAGATGAAAAAATCGAATTTTTAAAAAATATGCTACGATTATTCGTGTTTTCTTATTTCTTTCAAAAATATTAAATTCTTTATAGGATGACCAAAACAGAAGTATCGTGCCAAACGCGGACATAAGTTTGTGTATATTCACCGTGCAAAAGTATTTATCATTAAAAATAAATCAATTATTTACGCTTAGAAAAAGGTACGTAGATATACGTAAAAAGTTTCAATCTCATATCTCTATTAATTCCGTAAAAAGATATGAATGTCATGTGTGATCAAATGGCTGACAGAGTCCTTGGTCTTTTCACTGTCTGACCACACGAGGCTTATTTCATTTAAACTTCTTGAGTACATGAAATACCCTAGATTAAGACTATGTATTGGAGACAAAGAGGTATATAAATTTTTCACACAAACTAGCCAACAAAGTACTTCACATGTGTGAATGTATTAAAAAAAATTTAGGTTCACCGGCTAAAAAATTCATAAATAAATAAAGACAAAGATCGGTCACAATATAACCAACCGATTAAGAAGCATTTATTTAAAATTCACGATTAAAAGTATATTTTTATCGACAAACTTGTACGAGTAGAATCGTAAAAATTAACAACCTTCCAATTATCAAATACTTTTCAGTATAATACTTTTCAGTAGAAACTGATTCATACATTTTTTAATATTTTCGTTACTATTCTTAGTTTCTTTTTTTTCACCATTTAGGTTTAATTTAACGATATTTTAATTTCCACGAAACGAAGCTTAAACGTATAACCGTCCAATCGAACGAACTTTGTGAACAAATTACGTCGTTTTCGCTCGTTATTGTCCGATTAAAATGTTCCTCGTCCGATCGAAATTCGACTACTGGAGTTGAAAGGACGAGCGCGCGTTGCACGGCTCGAAATTTGATTAATTTTTATCCTGATGAGGCAACGGACAGTTCTCTAACAAATTGAAGCCAATGGAAACGAAATGGGAATAACCGAACGTTCGGTGTCTGGCGACATTAGCAAATTAGGAAAACGAATTGAACGAAAATTGGAACGCGACTCGTTTCCCCGTTGGACGTTATTTCATATCTGCGAATTCCCAGAAGACCTTTTCTCCTATCGTCGACGAAAAAGAATCGATCGAAATCTGAATCTTTTGTTTCCGATGACTCTTAACTTTTTCAGATACGATATTCAAAAATTAATAATTCTACAGACCAACAAGGAGTTCCTTTTTGATAGTTTCAAATAACATTCACTTGTGACTTGATTGGTATTAAAAACAACGACAAGTGCAATACGGTTATAAGAAAATAAAGTATTTTTGCGTTTAAACTTGTGTTGATTTTTGGAAATTAAAAATAAGGGGAACGAAGAAAGTAGAACAGTTCTGATAATAGGAATATTTAAAGACTGAAAATAATCTTATCTATCGCATTTGTTATTGCTCTCGATACCAATATTTAATAATTTCACGATGTCCAATATGTATTTGCATCTTGCCCGATATATTCTCCAGCGTGCATTTACGGTATATCCGAAAGTGCTTGAAACGAAATTATCAGTTAATGAAATCCGGCCGGAAACCGCGTTTAAATTCCAGGTCCGAAAGGATTAAGCTATTCGGGGCCGTCGACGATTCGTTCCCTCCTTAAGCTTCATAACCACAATGTGGCTGTCGCCTGTATTATTTATATTATCTCTGTCGTTTAAATTCAGTAGCCACATGTAGAGCAAACTCGTCGCTCGCGGGGGAACACTGCGAATTATCAGACGTCCACTTTAACGAAACTTTGCGCGAACGTTCGAACGCTGGTCCAAACTAAGAACTATGCCCGTATTTCGTTCCTGTCATTTCTCAACTTTAACCCGTTGCACTCCAAGAATCCATCTTAATTGACGTGGCTGGCTACTCGAATCCAATCTTCCGACGCCATTTTAAAGAATGTTAAAATTCTTTCCCGGAGGAATTTATAAACACTCGTAATATTAAATTTCTTCGTTTGCTTCGTTAATTAAAGTTTCCTTTTTTATTCTTTTCGTAAAGAATTCAAAGTTCTATTCTACCGGATCTTTAAGGACACGAAGAGAAACCCTTAAACTATAGGAAAATATTTTTGTAGTCCTTTTTTTATTATCTTTTAATAAATAGTTAAGTCTTTTAAATCGAACGATGTGATTATGGTTGGTGCAATTAAAGCTGGTTGGTTTCCACTGGTACTGAACCTATTTTAAGCAAAAAATATAGAAAATTTGAAAGACTATTTTTGAAGACAAAATCTTTTTTTGGTATAGAAATTTTTTCTTCAAAATGCTATGGGTTTTCAAATTTTCCATATTTTTTTGTTAAAAATAGGTTCAGTACTAGTGTAAACCAACCAGTTTATTGTAAAGTGATGAAAATGACCCATTCAATGCTCGACTCAATTTTTGAAAATTTACCCTAATTTTCTATAAAAGAACGAATCCACATTTATTTTCATTGCATTATACATTTCTCCTAGTATCTATCGTTTTAATTTCTTTGGTACAAATAAATACACCATAATTGTAGTTCTAGTGTCAACATCGTCGAATAGGATTAAAAGACAAAACTACTATTTAATAAAAGATAATAAAAGACTAAAAAAATATTTTCGTGTAGTTTAAGGGTCTAGTAGAATAGAACTTTTGATTCTTTACGAAAAAAAAAAATAAAAAAGGAAAACTTTTAACGTTAATAGAGAAGAATCGTCCTTGAGTCGAGTCGTCTACGATAGCCTCGATAGATCAACTGAAAATATAATAGACTGCCCAAATATATTATAATGAAGAAATGAAGAAGCTTGAAAGTGCCAGTTTCACCCCCTCGATAAAATTGTATAATTTCCACAACGTTCGAGCAATACGGAAGATTAAAACCTATAAGAACCGAGTACATATTATAGAACGGGGCAAATAGAAGAGCGGTCGATCGATGTTAAAGCGAAACGGATTAGGGGAGGTCGAAAAGTAGTGGTAATCGAGAAACATTCGTGCGAACTTTCGACAAAATCGAGGTCTGACAGTCCGCAGTGTTCCTTTGTCAGTGGTTATCGCCACCAACCGCATACTTGCCATGCCATTCGTCGTTCACCGAAAAATTCTCTCTTTCTCACTCCCGATCTTTTCGTCTGTCTCATCAACCCTGTTTCTCTACCTCTACAGTCTACGTTCACAACTACCTTCTACCTACTAGCCACTACCTCTACCTCTACGAACGCGCGTACTGGTATATCGCGTCTCGGGAGTCGTCTGGCACCGTACATCGTCCGAGATCCCGTCGAGATCTAAATATGGGGGGGGGGGCTGGGTGGTGGGTGGATACAAGCAAAGATCGAGAGTTCTTTTGGTGAACGCGGGCGAATCTGTTGGGCGCTACTCGCCCCGATTGTCCGTCGCGCGAGAACAAAAGCGTAACTAGAAAGCGGCAACGGGAAGCTGACGCGTCGGTGGTTGTTACCCTGCAGTTCGCGCGATCTACGCCACAAAATTTCTACGACTCTAAAAACGTAACGCTATGCCTGCGCGGGATCGTTGGCGCCACGAGGGGGGGGGGGGGGTGGTTCAAACAAAACGGGCATATAAACGAGTCGCGCGAAGGCATATACGCGAGCGGGTATCAAACCGGCCAGAATTAACGATGAAACGCGGCAGAAGCATAGACAACAGCCAAGCAATCAATTAGTGCGCGCTACGTGCCGATGCTTTCGAGCACCCTCGTTACTCGTATCGCGTCGAATCGATTACGTGCTCGTGACCAACGACCGGGGTTAATTTACTCACAGACTCTGCGACAAGAACCGCGACAGTGCCAACTTGCTGATTCGATTATTTTTCAGGCCATCCAACATTGCAGAGGCTGCGATTTCCATATTCGATCGTTCGCCGGCAAACCGAACTAAAGGAGGAAAAGTTTGCCGTGCACGGCTTCGATCGATTCCAACCGATCGCAGACGGATCCCTCCTTCTACCGGGTTTTAACCGTGTTTCACCGAATCGTAACCGCGAGTCGTTGATTCCGATCTATCGGGGACCCTCCTTGGTACCCAAACGTAATATATATGTATATATGCTTCCAGAGGACCAGTGTTCGAATCTCGATTACTCCGATCGAGAGTTCTCGTTCTCCTCCGTTATTTCGTTGCTTCGAGCCCTGAACCCGTTCCACAACGAGTCGTATCGCATGATTCGTTTCGCCCCCCTGTGTGTGTGTTTTCTCACGACCGTGATCGCGACCCTTCTTCTCTCGTTGGTCGTCGATCGTCCTCGTGATATTTCGTTGTATTCGTTATTATCCCTGGTGAGCAACCGGCGACGAACCCCGTTAACAAGTTCGACGCTCTTGCGCGCACAAACAGGTAATTCACCTTCGTTTCTTGGCTGCCCCCCACCCGCCGCACTCTATACGACCTCTTCTAAAAGAAAAGAAGAAACCGCTTTCGATCGTTTTCTCTCCTTTCCGCTGCGTTTCCCTCCTTTTCGTTTCCGGGTCTCCTCTTCCTTTCTCCAAGTCGTCGCCACGTTCCTCCGGGTTAAGAAAGAGAGAGAGAAAATTAATCCCTGACAGTCGACGGAATCTGCGGCTGTCTGGGTAGCCAGTGAGGCAACGCTCGGTACGAGCGATATTCGGCCTTCGAGGCGAACTCGACGCGCACTCGAATTATTCGAATTGGCCGACAGGGGGTCGTTCGGCTTGTGCGCGTTTCGTCTTCCCTCGAGATGACAGCCCCCGAATACCCAAGGCCTCGGTGGCGAAATTTCGTACACGTAGCGCGAGAACGGTTTCTCTACGCCGACGACGGGTCGGTAGAGATCGATAGAAAAATAACGCGACGAATCGTCCCGGAACGATCCACCTTTTTCGTGTATCCTCGTCTACGCGCCTGGCACCGCGAACCGACTAAACTGCGGCCATCGTCAGGTGGCGAGGATCGACAACAAGAAACGTACAAAACGAGGATAACAATCAACGATAACAATATTAATCGCGACTAATTTGCACGCGGTAAACTCCGACTGGCAACTAACAAACTACTTCGTCCTCCTTTTTCTCGACCCCGTCCTCTCTCTCTCTTTCTCTCTCTCAAATATTTTCGAACGTCAAGAGTCTCCTCCGTGTTCCGTGGCTTGGAAGAAATTCATTGGAAGAACCGTCGAGCGTCGCGCGTTCTCCTCTCCACCTTCTCCGAGGTTTCCCACTTTTCTTGGTTTCGTTCGTCGCTCCGAGGATTGATTCGAATTCGCCGCGAAATGATCAACCGATCGAAGCTGGTTACGCGTCGAAGGCGAGCGCGTAAGCGATCTCTCTCTCTCTCTCTCTCTCTCTCTCTCTCTCTCTCTCTCTCTCTCTGGCCCAGATGCGAGACAACGAAAAGATCCTTCGTGTCTTCGATCGCTGGTCGAGAAATCCCGTCGAAGAGGGTCGCGTGCGTGCGCGCGGCTTACCTACACCGAAGACACGGAATATCTTTTCCGGAGAGAGGGGGGGGGGAGGAAAAAAAACTATCGCGGTTGAGCGGTTTCGCGAAACGGTGGAAATTTACTTGTCGTCGTTCAGCGATCCCTGGGGGGGCCCGATGGATCGACGATCGCCGAAAACGTTCACCCGTCCGGCCACCGGAGCGTTTGTTCTTGCGAAACGACACCGACACCTCGACACCCGACGACGATCGCGAATGGTAACCGTTAGCGCCGGTCGAACGAGAATCGCAGGTCCCGTCCAATCGAACGGACGAACCGTCAGCCAAACGCGAACTACCGCTCTCCTCTGTGGTGTGACCTACTCGCGTACTGCTCTCAGCTGCTTCCAACCCCCAGAATCCTATCGCTACCCCTGTGTCGTCCCCCACCTACCAATCCACGTTACCTTCTCCTCCGGCTCCTCTTTCTCCTCCTGCCTCTGCCCTCGTTCCTACCGTTCCTACCTCTCCGTAACCCGCTTGCGAACCGTCCTGTTTCCATCCCCCCACGCGTCCCTCGCCCTCGACCAACGAAACCCTCCCTCCGACTCCTGCTACGACTAGGCATGTGTTCCCCTCCCTTTTCGACCTCCACCTCCACCGTCGCCACCACCACCGCCACCGCCACCTCCCGTTTTAGCCTACCAACCACCCTTTGCCGACCGATTCTACATCGCAACCACCGTACGCCCTTGCTCGCTCAACCCCTTGCTCCTCTCGATGCCCACCATTTTCTCCTCTTCGTCATTCCCGTTTCTGTCCTCGTCCTGCCTTCCCGACCCCGCTCCCGACGTCCCTTTTCAACGGTACGCTCGCCATCCTTTCCCGATCCTCTTTCTCCGTCTCCCTACACCCGTACACCCACCCCTTCGTTCCTGCATCCTGCGTCCTGCTTCGTCCTATTGCTTCCTCGTTTCCTCCCCCTCCCCTCGCCCGCTGCTCTACTCTTCAACTCTTCATCTCGTCCAAAGTTATCGCCGCCACCTGTATCGGCTACGAGCATAGTAATCTTTTCGCCTAACCCCCGACGGCTGGGCGCCGGCCGTTCGACGGTGATTACCGGTCGCCGTTTTGTCGCGTTACCCTCGCACGAGAAGAGTTTCGATCTTCTCGAAGATTCTTTCCGATCGATGGAAACTCTTAGCCCCGACGCTTTTCCACGGTCATTGTGACTTTTGATTACTATTATTATTCATTCGTTAAGGGGAAGAATAAACCCTTTGTTACAAAAGATGTAATATGCAAGGAACGATAAATGCGGATTGTACGTAGTAAATGTTCTCTTTTGTAACACTTTAACGATATAATTAATTTACAATACGCTGCAAGGATAATAATGATCGTTCAATTATATCTGCTTTTTCGAGTAATCTATTTATACAATTTTGAGATCCAAATGTTGTGCAATGGCTTTCAGAATAAAATACACACAACGGAAACCTTGATGAATCATAATATCGATGATTTTTCTATCATTTACTATTGTAGGAGTTATGGACGTTTGAAAATTGGGCCAATTTTATGGGGTTTTTCTCACTTTACGAGGTTGAAGACCAACTTTCTGAACATTCTTAGAATTTCTACATATTCTTCATCAAAATATGCGTTGTTTGCATTTCGTAACATTAAAATCCTCCAATCCGTTCAGAAGTTATGATTTTTTAAACATACCCATGAAATTTCAGGGGAATCAGATATTCGTGGTCACACTGACTTTTTTCAGAATGACTTGTTGTGTTCCTCTCTCTATTTCTACATTTGTTTAAGTTTCCTTTCACACGTCTGTAATATAAATATCAATTTCAATTTCAGTTTACATTTGTGTTAATTGCAAGGGCATCGAAGGATGACATCGCATCCGCTAAGGGTTTCATCCGCCGAGGGACTTTTAATTATAAGTCGATTAGATCTAAGCTGAGTCGATAATTTTAATATTAACGTCGTAGCATTCTTTATTGCACGCATCTCCGCACCCTGCCAAGTAATTATTGAACAAGTAGCTTCTTTCTCTCTCATTCTCCCGTTCCTTGCCTCAATCATCACTGCTTATACAGGGTGTACAGCCAACCCTGAGAAAAATTTTAATGGGGGATTCTTGAGGGCAAAATAAGACGAAAATCAATAATACTAATTTGTTGATTGAGGCTTCGTTAGAATGTTATTAACGTTTAAAGTGTTGCTTGTGGAACGGCAATCTGCGAACAGCTGCGTGCGAGATATACGAGTAGACCTTAAATTCAATGTATTTTTTAGGCCCATTTTTTGGGGGTCTAGAGCTCCATTAATACGCATTGTTTGAATTTTGAATTATTAAAATCCTTCAATCCGTCCAGAAGTTATGATTTTTTAAACATACGCATGAATTTTCGGGGAAACATTTCTGGCCACGCGTATATTTTCGGCAAAAGAATTTTTTTCTCGAAAGTACGTAGGATTTCGGGGGTATGTGTATTCACCAAAAATGATTGCAATTGTCCTCTGCAATCGAAAATAATTTTTCCAGAATGATTTGAAATTCTTTTTTTCGCCTGTCGATTTTTCTTAATAATTAGTTTTTGATTTTTTGTAATTTTGTTTGACATGGTACAGAAACAGTTGCTCTCAACTACTTCCTCTCAAAATTTCGATGCAATATATTCACTATTGTAGGAGTTATGGTCGTGTGAAAATTGGGCCACTTTTATGGGGTTTTTCTCACTTTACGGGGTTAAGGACCAACTTTCTGAACATTCTTAGAATTTCTACATATTCTTCGCCAAAATACACGTTGTTTGCCGTTTGAAACATTAAAATCCTCCGATTCGTTCAGAAGTTATGATTTTTTAAGCATTCGCATGCAATTTCAGGGGAATCAGACATTGGTCAGACATTGTATTCTCGGTAAAGAATTTTTTTCTCGAAAGTACGTAGGATTTCGGGAATATGTCTATTCACCAAAAATGATTGTAAGTGACCCCTGCAATCGAAAATAATTTTTCTAGAACGATTTAAAATTTTTCTATTTCGCCGAAAAAAGGCACATACTCGAATTTTTTTCTCGAAAGTGCGTAGGATTTCGAGGATATGTATAATGACCAAAAATGATTGTAATTGACCCCTGAAACCAAAAATAATTTTTCCAGAACGATTTGAAATTTTTTATTAACTTTTTAACGAAACCTCAACCAAAAATTTGATATTCTTGATTCTCGTCTCATTTTGGCCTCCAGAACCTCTCGGTAAAATTTTTCCCAGTGTTGGCCGAACACCCTGTATGTAGCAAGCAGGCGATCGGCCGATTAGCTGGTCCAAAAGGTCAGTTGCCGTCCTCTGGTGAGACGATCGAAGAAAAAGATGATTTCGCCCGTAGAGAGGTTCGCCTGTCTGCGGGAGCCTCCGACTTAGGATCCCTTCCCTACGTCAGTCAGCCTAAGTCGGGTTCTTTTAGCTCCTGGCGGGGTGCATAGGAGAATTGGGGAGCCTCTTCCCTTTCGATCGGAATCGCTAAAAGGCAACGAACTAGCCCCTAGACCCACTATTCTGTTCGTGTCGCGTTTCTCTAAAAGCTTCGTTTTCTTTCATGAAATAATTGCTTGACATAATTAGAACTAGAAGATGGAACTTTGTTTCCTCCTATCTCTTTAGTTTAGCAATCTAGTCTTTAAGAATATAAAGGGAAGATCGATGCAACTTTGTTTCCTTCTATCTCTTTAGTTTAGCAATCTAGTTTTTGAGAATATAAAAGAAAGATCGATGGAACTTTAATTCCGTCTATCTCTTTTTGGGTCTCCGGACGCAGCAACCTCCTCGTGGTGAGACCTGGTAAACGGTGTTACACACGATGAAAAGTTTTTCTACGCGAGTAACACCGAGGTAATGGCTGCGAATTTACAATTGTTCCTCGAGAGGTAAAAGAAAACTGTGCTCTGTAAATTCTTGAAAGATCTAAGAATACTTAGAACTTCGAGTGTATCAAGCGTGTCCGAACGTTTCGATAAATTCAAAGACTCCCATTAGATTAAACTTCGCCTCGCCGTTATGCCATAATCGTATCTTTTGCTGGGCATGCAATTGAGCACGATTCGAGTAACGTGTCTGACCATTACTGGTCATTTCTACTTGCGGTGACGATCTTAACACTGTTTTTACCCCGGTTTCGTGTGTACTTATTTTAACCTAATGGTTTCTTTCGACGCCTTTGCATTTGCATGCAGACGACTGTAGAAATTAATGTTGATACGATTTATGTTATTTTTAATATCGTGTTACCGAGGTGAAACGATTAATATATTCGTGAAAGTATAATTTCTAAAAAATAGTAAATATAAATATTTTTATTCACTCGTGTGTATTATTGCATGTGTCAATAATATTGTGAAATAAGTATTTCATTAAAATAGATTTAGAATAATGGTATTGCAACTAATAGTATTATACCATGTACTTATGTCGATAACATAAGCGAATAATAGTTGCAAAATATGTTTAGTTTGAAAATTTTTATTTCTTACTTTCAGTTCACTATTTTCCGTATTTGAAACCGAGTGTGATTAATAAATAGTATTTTCTCACGATTGAAACATCTAATGAAATAGTATTTACGTATGCAAGTATTTCGATGTTTACTGTTTCATATAAAAGTATTTCAAATTTGTCCCACAGTCCTGCGTTTCTGTAAATTTTTATTAATTAAAGGTGAAATCGTTCTTTGCGTTCGGAATGGCAAAAAAATTCTTTCCCCCCCACCCCTCCATTGGTCAATAGTTTGAAGTCTACAGAATACAACGCTGTTTGACTTCTGGCGCATTCGAAAAATTGTAAAAGTTATGAAAGTTTGAAGAGCACGGCGCATAAAGGGAGCAGGTATAACGAGCACGGTTCGAGTAGATGCCAGACGAACTTTAAACGCGTTGTTCTCGAAACTACATTTCTCGTAATTGTGGGAGGGATAACTCCGACATTAATAGTCCGATTGACTTCATCTTTAGAGCGAGCCCTCCTTTATAGCGTGCCAATAACCGGAACCAGGATAATGCTTGTACTTCCGCCAGTTTTTTTTACGCTCGCGAAATGAGAAAATGCTTCCCCGAAAGAGTTTAATTCTTCTAAAAATTAGCATCGCTTTGTAAATTGTTTAAATTACCATGGTATCCTAGTTTATCTGAGAAGCCATAAATTACTATTTGGATGGTTTTGGAAAACTCTAACTAACTTTGTTAGCTAGCTCAATTTAAAGTGGAGCATCCCATTACGCAGGCACCGTGTTTCTCTAATTAAAAATATCTCCAATGGTATTTATTTTATCGACGTACATAAA